AGCCTACAACCCGGGCAGTGCCTGACCGGGAATTGAACGGTGACCTCCTGGTTCATAGGTTGACTGACACTCAACCACTGAGCCACGCCGGCCGGGTCAAAGTGTCTTTTTGAAACAATTTCATGTTCTACTGGTATCTTCATTAATTAATGAGTTGAATAAATGTTGCAAGGTTAAAAAAAAAAAAGAGCCCTAGCCAGTTTTGCTCAGTGGATAGAGCATCAGCCTGCAGACTCAAGGGTTGTGGGTCTGATTCTGGTCAAAGGCACATGCCCAGGTTGCGGGCTCGATCCCCAGTAAAGGACATGCAGGAGGCAGCCGATCAATGATTCTCTCTCATCACTAATGTCTCTCTCTCTCTCTCTCTCTCTCTCTCTCTCGCTTCCCCTCTCTCTTTCTCTCTCTCGCTTCCTCTCTGAAATCAATAAAAATATATATTTTTTTAAATCTTAAAAAAAATAAAAGAATGAAACATCATTTTGTCAGAACGGAGAGCAATACAAAGCTTCCAACAGACCAGGCGATGGTGTTACTGGGGTGAACAGTAAGAGCGTTGATCCTCGGACATGTGGCCCCCCAGGAAATTGGAGGAAAGGGACAGAGTCGGATTCAGCTTCGTAAACTGTCCCCCACCCCCCAACTCCAGAACCCAGCGCCTCCCCCCTCGGCCGGGATGGTTACCTGGAGCAACACCTTCCCACGGGCACTAATGAACCCCCCATGCATCAGGATCCTGAAAATCTCCGACCACGGAACTCACCCACACACGTTCCCTCCTCGGAAAAGCGGTAGCCCTGCTCGCACTCGCAGCGGAAGGTCCCCGGGTGGTTGTTGCAGACGGCGTGGCTCCCACACACCGCGGGCTGCTCCGAGCACTCGTCAATGTCTACAGTGAGTTCAGGAAACACGAAGCAGCCTCGTGTTAACCTCTTCGCACGTCACTGCGTACATGACGCAGACAGCACTGCTGCTTGGGGGGGGGGGTTGGGGGGGACTAAACCCAGGCAAAACCCCAACCCAAGGGGTGTTCAGTTTTTTTGTTTTTGTTTTCTTTTAAATATATTTTTTATTGATTTTTTTATGGAGAGGAAGGGAGAGGGATAGAGAGTTAGAAACATCGATGAGAGAGAAACATCGATCAGCTGCCTCCTGCACACCCCCTAAGGTACATGCCCTTGACCGGAATCGAACCCGGGACCTTTCAGTCTGCAGGCTGACGCTCTATCCACTGAGCCAAACCGGCTAAGGACAGTGTTCAGTTTTTTGAACATATACTGCAGCCAGTGGTTGACCCATGAACCAGGAGGTCACGGTTCGATTCCGGTCAAGGGCACATCCCCAGTAGGGGACATGCAGAAGGCAGCCGATCCATGATTCTCTCTCATCGTTGATGTTTCTATCTCTCTCTCACTCGCCCTCTCTCTCAGAAATCAATATTTTTTTAAAAGACCATTCCGGCTCCCACTGCCCCTGCCCCCAGCTCCCAGGATGCTCCAGCCCAGATGTCTGGACGCTATGTGCGGATGGCAGGGCCCCAAGGCTCCTGCTCGGCTGCCAAAGCAACTAGCACAGGGCGAGTTTCAATCCCAGTGACAGAACAGCACGGCCACAGGAACGTTTCCAAGCTCCGTTCTCCCCGGGAAGCTTTAGGGACGGGGACTTTGTGTGTTTCAAAAAAGCGACTTTGGCCCGGCCGGCATTGGCTCCGTGGTCCAGCCCTGACCTATGAACCAGGAGGTCACGGTTCAATTCCCGGTCACGGCACACGCCCAGGTTGCAGGCTCGGTCCCCAGGGTGGGGCGTGCAGGAGGCAGCCGATCCATGATTCCTTCTCATCACTGATGTTTCTCCCTCTCTCTCCCTCTCCCTTCCTCTCTGAAATCAATAAAAAAATACTTTCTAAAAAAGGGTGAGCCTCTGTAGTTCACACCAACGTGCCTGGGGGACGTCATGTTCCAAGGGTTGCACGCAGCGCTGGCTTCAGCTCCCCTCCGCACCTGCTCGGGGTGTGGCCTCACAGATTCTTCTCTGCTGCTTAGAGTCAGAGCATCTGGAAGGGGCAGCGCCCCTCACGGTGCCAGGGGACGCCTGGGCATGCCAGTCTCATCTCAGGGCCTCGTCCCCTCCCTCGCCACCTGGACCACAGGCTGTGGACACCTCCCCGCGGCCTCCCCCACGCCCCCCGAGGCTGAGCCGAGGCTGTACCATGGCAGGTGCGTCCGTCCCCCCGGAAGCCGATGGAGCACTCGCAGGCGAACTGGTTCCCGGCGCCGGGCTGACAGGCCGCGTTGGTGTCGCACCCGTGAGTGCCGAGGTAGCAGGGGTTCTGCAGGGCGTCCGGGGAGCCGTCTGCGAGGACAGAGACACTGAGAGTGAGTCCTCAGAACGCTCCCCCCACAGAGGAAGGCGGGTGGAGGCCGAGATCCGGGGACAGGGGAGCAGCTGGCGGATGTTCCGGTGAAGCATCTTCCCCATCAGATCCCAAGCAGAACAGGCCATAAGGCAATTTTGCCGGAAATTGACAAAAATCACGCCCGGCCGGCGTGCCTCAGTGGTTGAGCATCACCCTATAAGCCACGAGGTCATGGTTCAATTCAATTAATAAGTTGAAAAATTACAGGCTAGTGGACGCCTGGCTGGCGTGGCTCAGTGGTTGAGTGTCGACCTATGAACCAGAAGGTCACGGTTTGATTCCTGGTCAGAGCACATGCCCAGGTTGCAGGCTTGATCCCCAGTGTGGGGTGTGCAGGAGGCAGCTGATCAATGATTCTCTCTCATCATTGATGTTTCTCTCTCTCTCCCTCTCCTTTCCTCTCTGAAATCAATATATATATATTGATTTTTTTTTTTTAAAGAATACGCCCAGAGCACAGAGACGCAGGCGCACGAGGGCCGGTGGGAGCTGCGTCTCACCCCGCACAGGCCCGATGGAGTTGCTGAGAGCGAAGCGCAGGATCCGCTCCTCCTGGTTGTACAGCACGAACACGCTGTCCACCGAGAGCTGCTGGGTGCTGGGCGGGGCCGGCCGGGCCCCGTCGTGGACGCACTCCTGGAAGGTGATGGTCTGGCGCCACTGGTACGTGTGGATGCTCGCAGGGGCCGCGGGCCCTGTCACCGTGTACTCCCGCGTGGAGGAGGATGTGATCACTGGATGCAGGAGGGACACGGGTGGGGAGAGAAAGGAGAGGGTATGAGGATGCGGTGGCCTCCTCCAGGGTCAGACCCATCCCATTGGTGGTCCTCCAGACACCATGCTTCCAGGGGAGACTGCAATGGAGCCGGTCAATGAGATCGTTCATTTATTTCTTGTTGTTGTTGTTAATCCGCACCCAAGAATACTTTCCCATTGGTTTTTAGAGAGAGTGGGAGAGAGAGGGAAAGACAGAGAGAAACATCGATGGGAGAGAAATCCATTGAATGGCTGCCTCCTGCACGTGCCTCAAACAGGACCTGGGCTGGAGAGGAGCCTGCAACCAAGGTACGTGCCCTTGACCAGAATCGAACCCGGGTCCCTATGGTCCACAGGCAGACACTATCCACTGAGCCACACCGGCCAGGGCAAGACCGTTTATTTCCAATGGGGACTCCTTCTGCTACCTGGATTTCCCCTACCGCTATGGGTATTATTTGCATCAGTAATATTTGTTGCTTTTTCCCCCCATCAAGTGCCTCTCTTCAAGTTCCTAAGCTGCCCAGACACAACCTAAAGATTACAAGCTAGTGGACGTCTGGCCGGTGTGGCTCAGTGGTTGAACGTCGACCTATGAACCAGAAGGTCACGGTTTGGTTCCTGGTCAGGGCACAGGCCCGGGTTGTGGGCTCCATCCCCAGTGTGGGGCGTGCAGGAGGCAGCCGATCAATGATTCTCTCTCATCATTGATGTTTCTCTCTCTCTCTCTCCCTCTCCCTTCCTCTCTGAAATGAATAAATAACAAATAATAAATTCTCTGGAGGGAGTGATACGATGTCTGGCAGTGGGGAAAGGCGATGTTACTAAGGTGTCTCCCGCGTTTTGCTCTCTGCGGCCCAGGAGACGGCAGCAGTGCGGGCTGTCCCGGTGGCACTGGGAGCCTGGGCCCCGGGGTGCCCTCACCGCCGCGGGAGTAGTGGTAGAGCTCCGTGTAGGGCTCGATGTGCACGGAGGCGCCAACCGGGATCTGCGGCACGCGGCCCTCCAGCTCCGTGTCGATGGTCAGGTGCCCGTGCTCGTCGATGCCGCTGAAGCGCTGCTTGATGACCAGCTTGCCCGGGTGCCCCACGAAGGTCACCTCGGCCTGGCGGGTGAACTCGCCCCCTGGAAAGCAAGGTCATTCGGTCACTCTGCCGTCAGAAGGGACAGCCACCCCGGCGCCCGCCCTGGGCTCACAGGGCTGGTCAGGGGCCGTGGAGTCGCACCTCCTCTGCGGGTGCCTCAGGGGGTGCTGGTAGGAACGGGGCTGGGGACCCCCGAGGACAGAGCTGGGACACCCAGGGGGCCCCACGGAGTCACCCGCAGAGAGAGGCCGCCTCCCAGCCACAGCCTCCGAGATGGGTTGGCTCAGGGCTTGTGCTGAAAACGGGCATTTTCAACTCATGATGAGAAGGGACAATGAGAAATACCCCAGATTTAGGATGGGTGAGCCGGGCCAGCAGGATTTTAAATATTATTTAGAATATTCGTAAATATTATTCACGAAAGAATACGGGTCCTCTTACCGCCAGGTCTTTCTCCCAGAACAAAAAGCTTGTCAGTGAGTTGTCCTTAGACCTGGAGTTCCCTTTCCACTCATCCCCAGGCCCTATCTCCCTTGCCCCCCACCCCCACCCCCGGGCCATGGGCTTTAACGGGTGATGTCAATACCTGTGATGCTGAACCCGTGCCTGAATCCGTCTTGCTCCACCGCAAACATCCACCCGATGACACCCCCGACAGGGGCCAGGGGCAGCAGGGAGTACCCCACGGTCTCGGGGATGGTGCTGATGGCCGTGTAGGAGCGGCCCTGGTTCATCACCACGTAGGAGTGCAGGTCCGTGTTCTCAAACACCACGGGGACCGGGCTGCTCCCCACGAAGATCCTCCCTTTCACCTTGCCGTTCACTCGCTGGGGGGACCCTGCGAGGGAAACAAAGGGAGAAGCCAGTCCTTCGTAAGAGAAGAACAGGAGAGGCCCTGGGCCTGTAGCGCAAGAGGCAAGCCCGGCCCGTGTGGCTCAATGGCTGGAGCGTCGACCTAGGAACCGGGAGGTCACGGTTCGATTCCCCGTCAGGGCACATGCCTGGGTTGCGGGCTCCATCCCCAGCGTGGGGCGTGCAGGAGGCAGCCGATCCATGATTCTCTCTCATCATGGATGTTTCTCTCTCTCTCTCCCTCTCCCTGCCTCTCTGGAATCAATAAAATTTTTAGAAAAGTAGCAAGAATCCCACAAATAATTAAACCATGAGATTCCTCCAGGGCATGTAGATGATGTTAAAACGTGGGGCCGGACGGTTCGTCCGATCTGAGTTTCTGCCCAGCACACTCAGCATTCCCGGCTCGGACGCTTGGCACCGGAAAGGCCGCTGGGGCCGCGCCTGGAGAAGGAGGTTTTGCTGCTGATTCTGGAAGCTTCTCCCAGGGTATCCAAGCCAAGCCCCACGCAACGCTCAGGCACACCACCCCTGGGCGGTGCAATTTGGAAGGAAATACGTTTACAGATGCTGAAAACATTCCCCTAACGAACACACGGACACAAAAATTCTCTCTCGTTGCCAAAGTCAGTATAACAACCCTCACTTGATCGAATTAGGACCCAGAAGGGAACACGGTTCCTGTTCGTTGCTGTTTGTTTGTTTTTTTAGCAAATTAAAACAGCGATGGCAGGGGATCTGAAAAACAGGAAAGTGCTTCCAAGCTTTACTGAGTCAAACCTGGGGAAGCAACTGCCTTTCCTCACGAAACACAAAGAAAACGGCCAGTGACACGTGAGGTCATCTGGCATCCGAAGGGACAAATGTTCCGTACGGCGGGGTTTCTGTCGCTTTTGTTTTCATTGGCGTTTATGGCCCCGGGCTCCCCGGGGACCCACGCTGAGTAAACTGTGTCTGGGCTCTCACGACCGTAGAGACTGCCTGGTCCGCAAGTGACAGCTGGATCCAATCTGGAGTTTGGGGCTCAGGGGTTGAGCGTCGACCTCTGAACCGGGAGGTCACGGTTCCATTCCCGGTCGGGGCACAGGCCCGGGTTGCAGCTCCATCCCCAGTGTGGGGCGTGCAGGAGGCAGCCAGTCCATGATTCTCTCTGATCATGGATGCTTCTCTCTCTCTCTCCCTCGCCCTTCCTCCCTGAAACCAATAAAAATATTTAGGCTGCCCTCCCTCCTCCCAGCCCACGAATGAGCACAGAAAACAGACCTTCGGCCACACACTGCCGGCCGTTCCCGGTGTAGCCGGCGACGCAGCTGCAGCAGAAGCCGGTGGCGTAGTCCCGGCACTCGGCGTGCACGGAGCACTGGTGTCGGCTGTTGGCGCACGTGGGCCGGGAATCCGTGTTGTAGCTGAAGACTGCGGAGGAAGCACAGGGCAACTGTGAGCAGGTCTCGGGGCTCAGCGGCAGGAGCGGGTCACACGGGGCCCCCCAGCCCTGCAGGGATAATGGCACTCGGCCAGGCGGCTCAGGGTCCGGACTCACTGCCTGGAGCCACATAAATGGTGTGGTGGCTCCATCTGCCACACCCCACGCACATGGGGCTGCAACAGCGGTTCTCAACCTGTGGATTCCAACCCCTTTGGGGGTCGAACAACCCTTTCACAGGGGTCGCCTAAGACCATCGGAAAACACATAGATAATTACATATTGTTTTTGTGATTCATCACTATGCTTTAACTATGTTCAATTTGTAACAATGAAATTGGGGGTCACCACAACATGAGGAACTGTATTCAAGGGTCGAGGCATGAGGAAGGTTGAGAACCACTGGGCTACAAGGAGTGTAGAAATCACAGGGTGAACGATCAAAAAGTGCTCTAATCTGCCTGGCCAGCGTGGCTCTGTGGTTGGGTGCTGACCTATGAACCAGGAGGTCAGGGTTCGATTCCCGGGTTGCGGGCTCGATCCTCAGTGGGGGGCGTGCAGGCGGCAGCCGATCAGTGATTCTCTCTCATCATTGATGCTTCTCTCCCTCTCTCCCTCCCTCCACCTTCCTCTCTGAAATCAATAAAAATATATATTTTAAAAAGTGCTCTAATTTAATTTGCATCAGTCTCAGGTCACCCCATCAGACAGCTGTCTCAATCTGGTGTCCCTCTAATGAGTCAAAAAGATCAGCTTCACATTTTAAAGGGGTCTTCAGGTATTTTTTTTTTTACTGTTTTTTAATTTTCCCATTTTCTTGACTTCAGAGTATTTTGAAATTATTTTGCCTCTTCTCTCCAGGCAATAACTAAGAAGCTCTTATACTCAAAAGCTGATTAGGCCATAGCTGGTTTGTCTCAGTGGACAGCGTGTTGGCCTGCGGACTGAAGGGTCCTGGGTTCGATTCCAGTCAAGGGCACGTACCTCAGTTGCAGGCTCCTCCCAGGCCCGGGCCCTGGTCAGGGCGCATGCAGGAGGCAACCAATTGATGTGTTTCTCTCACACTGATGTTTCTCTCTGTCTTTCCCTCTCTCTCCTACTTCCTCTAAAAATCAATGGAAAAATATCCTCGGGTCAGGATTTTTAAAAAAAAGCTAATTAGAAAGACTTCTTCAATTCCTTTCACTCAAGAAACAAAAAGAATTCTTCCTATTTTTAAAATTCTACCTCCTTGGTTCAATTTGTTAGAATTAGGAACGGACTCATTATACTCCACAATCCAGAGGAAACTGATCTGGAAAGAAAGCTCAAAAGCACAGGTAGGGGGTGGATTTTTAAAGCGGGGAGCGATCCGGTTTATAACCGACTGTTTGGAGTGAAGACACAAGTGAAGTTTAAACCAGGAAGGTTCTATGCGTCTCAGACGCTCGGAAATTTCCAGTGTGTGGAGAGGCAGCGTTTGGCGTCGGAAAGCCTTGGCCCCCACGCTGAACACACGTGACTGCAGCCTGCTTCACTCCAGCCGAGGGCCCGGCGCCCAGTGGGTCCCCATGGCCTGCGTATCTGTGGGTGACTATTCAGATAACGCCAGGAATGCACGGCGGGCCGCGGAAGGCTGACCTCCCCGCCAGAAACAGCGAAATAACCGAGATAGAGGGACAGAGAAACATCTGTTTCAGGCACATGTCGGGTTCAAATCTAGGCGTGGACTGATACCGAGCAATGCACCGCCATATGTTGCTGTTGGCGTCAGATAGGATAGCATTTCAACAGGACGGCTCCGCGAGGGAGAATGTCAGAGACGCCTTGATGGGGTGACAGCTCAGATCGCCACAGCTGCGAGTAAACAACCCGACACATCTGGGGAGCTGTCCCCCCGAAGCCAGCTGCAAGAGCGGAGCGCCACGCAGGCAGGGATGTCCGCATCGCCCCAGGAGAGCCAGGGTGCGGGGTGGGGAGCCCCGAGACACGGACCCGCGTCCTGGTCCGGACACGCAAGGTCGACGTCTCCACTTCCGAGCCTTGGAAGATAGTAACGAGCTCACTGGCCCTGGCCCCCAGCTCTCGCCCAGGCTTCGGAAGACTCAAAAAGAACAAACATGTGTGACTATCGTCAGGAGACAAATTAGAACGAGTAAGAAGAAATACAAGTGAGGCCCAGCCAGTGTGGCTCAGTGGTTGAGCATCGGCCCATGAACCAAGAGGCCACGGTTCGATTCCCCGGCAGGGCACATGCCCAGGTTGCAGGCTCAATGCCCAGTAGGGAGCGTGCAGGAGGCAGCCGATCAATGATTCTCTCTCTCTCTCTCTTTTTTCCCCCCAATGATTCTCTCTTATCATTGAGGTTTCTATCTCTCTTTCCCTCTCCCATCCTCTCTGAAATCAATAAAAAAATCTATATATTTTTTAAAGTGAGTGACTATGTGGAATGGATAACTTTGTAACAGAAACAGTAGAGCAGGGGTCCTCAAACTTTTTATTTTTTTATTTTATTTTATTTTATTTTTTTAATATATTTTATTGATTTTTTACAGAGAGGAAGGGAGAGAGATAGAGAGCTAGAAACATCGATGAGAGAGAAACACCGATCAGCTGCCTCCCGCACACCTCCTACTGGGGATGTGCCCACAACCCAGGTACATGCCCTTGACCGGAACCGAACCTGGGACCTTTCAGTCCGCAGGCCAACGCTCTATCCACTGAGCCAAACCGGTTTCGGCCTCAAACTTTTTAAACAGGGGGCCAGTTCACTGTCCCTCAGACCGTTGGAGGGCCGGACTATAGTTTAAAAAAAAAAACTATGAACAAATTCCTATGCACACTGCACATATCTTATTTTGAAGTAAAAAAACAACACGGGAACAAATACAATATTTGTATTTGCATGTGGCCCGCGGGCCGTAGTTTGAGGACCCCTGCAGTAGAGTCTTACTAAACATTATTTAAAGGCCTGGACCATCCCATCTACAGGAATCTCAATGGATTATAAGTCACCCTGAAGAGCAAAAATGAGTGAACACAGTTGAGCTTGGACTTCTTTTACAAGACAAATCAAAGCGTGCTGGCTTTCCCTCAAAACGAAGCAAAAACCTGATAGAATACAGTTGACTAGAAGATAGTGCACTTTAAAAGGGAGATCTCAGGGGGGAAAAAAGGGAGGGAATCTACTTCTTCTGTATTTTAAAATCTTCTCAAACCGACTCTGAAACAAACCGGAGCTGGGAATAATGAACTCTTCTCCTGCCAAAGCCGAGAGGAAATAAATGTCAAAGATAACTGCGTCCGCGGCCAAAGGAACGTCGACAATGTTTTTTCAGGTGGCCGAGTGTACTTCTGATCTCAGAAATCACAAATAAGAAAAAATCTGACTTTCAAAAATACTTCTAAAGCCCTTTTCTCCCTACAACAGACCAGAGGGCCCCGGCCGGTGTGGCTCAGTGGATAGAGCGTCGGCCTGCGGACCGAAGGGTCCCGGGTTCGATTCCGATCAAGGGCACATACCACGGTTGCAGGCTCCTCCCGGGCCCCGGGCCCTGGTCGGGGCATGTGCAGGAGGCAACCCGTCGATGTGTTTCTCTCGCACCGATGTCTCTCTCTGTCTTTCCCTCTCTCTTCCTCCACTCTCTCTAAAAAAAATCAATGGAAAAATATCCTCGGGCCAGGAGCCTGTGAGCTCCCACCCCTACTTCCCAGCTCTCGCCCTCACAACCCACCCCAGAACGCACACCTCGGACCCCCTCCAAGCACCTGTCCTGTGTCCAGAAAACCAAGTGCCCTAGAGTATTCTCACGGCAACAGCGGCAGCCTTACCGACTTCCGACTCCTCCACCTCATCCACATCGATGACCTGCGGGTGCTGCTGGGGGAACCTGGCCCCGGGCAGCTGGAAGGACCGGGTCCTCTCGGTGGGAGGCCTGGCGGGCCTGGCGGTGGCCGGGCGGCTGGGGGACAAGACCCGGTGCCTGGTGGTGCCGGTGTCTCCCCTCCTCGGGGTCTCATAGGGGAAGGGGGTGGTGCCCAGGTCCTCCGGGCCCAGACTGGTCACCGAGTCGTAATCTTCGTCATCGTCGTAGTCTTCTCCGTCGTCCGCTCTGAGGATCACGTCCGAGGACACCACGCCGCTGGCTGTGTCGGGGCCCCCGATCTCAAACACCCAGACGCCCTGCTGCCCGGAGTTGCTGCTCCTACGGGAAAGGACAGACTTCTGGGGAACAGGCCCTGCTCCCCGGACGGAAGGAGCCCTGGGATCCGTGTCCGCCTGAAACCCAGGGGCCTGGAGGGCGGGAGAGCCGACCGGGTCATGTGTGGTCGTCATGCCAGGGGCACCGACAGACTCTTGGGGACCAGCTAGAATGCTAAGAAATATTCATCACGCTCTGTTAGCCGTGATGGTGTTACTCTGATTAAAGAAGGCCCGTGCTGCCCTAACCGGTCTGGCTCAGTGGATAGAGCATAGGCCTGCGGGGCTGAAGGGTCCCAGGTTCGATTCCGGTCAAGGGCACATGCCCGGGTTGCGGGCTCTATTCCCAGTAGGGGGCGTGCAGGAGGCAGCCAATCAATGATTCTCTCTCATCATTGATGTTTCTATCTCTCTCTCCCTCTCTAAAATCAATTTTAAAAAAAACCAAACATTTTGACCCAGTGATCCCACTTCTAGGAATATATCCCAAGAAACCAGAAACACCAATCAGAAAGGATATATGCATCCCTATGTTCATAGCAGCACAATTCACCATAGCTAAGATCTGGAAACAGCCTAAGTGCCCATCAGCAGATGAATGGATTAGAAAACTGTGGTACATCTACACGATGGAATACTATGCTGCTGTAAAAAAGAAGGAACTCTTACCATTTGCAACGGCATGGATGGAACTGGAGAGCATTATGCTAAGTGAAATAAGCCAGTCAATGAAAGAAAAATACCACATGATCTCACTCATTTATGGATAATAAAGACCATTATAAACTGATGAACAAAAATAGATACAGAGGCAGAGCAGCATCGAACAGACTGTCAAACTACAGCGGGAAGGTCGGGGAGGGTCGGGAGGGGTGGGTAAGAGATCAACCGAAGGACTTGTATGCATGCATATAAGCATAACCAATGGACACAAGACACTGGGGGGTAGGGGAGGCCGGGGGAATGTCAAGGGGAAAAAAAAAAAAAGGAGACATATGTAATACTCTTTGTAATACTTTAAGCAATAAAACAAAATTTAAAAAATAAATAAAAAATAAAAACAAAAAACAAAAAAAACAAAAATAAAAAGTACCACATAATAGAAAAACTTTATCCAACATTGCAACCCAAGGGAATTTTTTAGGGAATGTTCTGCGATGCCCATTACATCATCCTTAATAAGATAATCACAGGCCCTAGCTGGTTGGCTCAGTAGATAGAGCGTCGTCCTGGGGACTGAAAGGTCCCAGATTCGATTCCGGTCAAGGGCATGTAGCATGTACCATGGTTGCAGGCACATCCCCAGTAGGGTGTGTGCAGGAGGCAGCTGATCGATGCTTCTCTCTAATTGATGTTCCTAACTCTCTATCCCTCTCCCTTCCTCTCTGTAAAAAATCAATAAAATATATTAATTTAAAAAAAAAGGTAATCACGGGCTATGCTTATTCTCAGGGGGCGTCTACGGAAGAACGAAGGCAGACGCTTACTTGGCCAAATTGCCGATCGAGTCTCTGTCGTTAGCAAATATGTTATACGCCCCGTCGCTGCTCAACACGCGTCCCACCAGCCCTTGGCTGAAGGCGACCATGGCGGGGACCTGGCTCTGGTCGCGCTTGGAGAAGGTCGAGGTGAACTGCAGGCCGTCTTCGGGGTACAGGAAGATGGCGTAGGAGCTGGAACCGGAGGAGGCCAGGACCGCCTGGAACGTGTTTCTCTGCGAAGACGAGTCAAGAGGCAGTCAGTCACCCAGACAGGTGGCCACATCTTCCCAGGGACCCTGCAGCAGACCGGACGCCCCACGTGGGAAGATGGCGGTGTCCCCCCAACTTATTCTAGAAGCAGCGCTTTTAGGTATTTCCGGGAAAGCGCCACTTCCACGCCTCTGAGGCTGGCCCGTCGGAAAGGGCCTTCGTGTAAGGACTGCGTTCCTGATGCCCGGCCCTTCGCATGTTACCTCACCATGTAGCCCTCCCACCGTTCCTAGGAAGGAGGTGGCTGTATCTCCATCCACGTGGGAATGGATGCTTTTGGGCCTTTCAAGTTCCTCCCCACTGTGTGATCCTATGAAAATTAAACGATGGTGGGGCCGAGAGACCGAGGCTGGTCGCCAAAGAGTAACTCAGACCTGGAGGCGGCTTCTCCACCTACTTCTTCACCAGAGATGCCCACTTGGACGTGGCGGGACTCCTGTCTGAAACATTCCCATGGTGCCCGTGGTTTCTGTCTCCCCAGCTAGACTGTGGGCTTTCTCTTTACTTCTTCACACCCTTGAGGACTACCTGGTGATTGTAACCTTCACTTCGCATGAATAATGTCTCGCCCGGCCGGCGCGGCTCAGTGGTTGAGCAGTGACCTCTGAACCAGGAGGTCACGGTTTGATTCCTGGTCGGAGCGTATCGATACCCTGCAGGGGGCGGCCGATCCATGATTCTCTCTCATCATCGATGTTTCTCACTCTTTCTCCCTCTCCCTTCCTCTCTGAAATAAATTTTTAAAAAAGTAATAGAGTCTCTATTTAACCAGAAACCACCTCCCACCCTCTGACCCAACGTCAGAGGGATGGGAGTCATCAACCTTATTCTTGCCACCGAGCAGTTTCTCAGGAACTGGCTTTCTTTCTTTTTTTAAAAAAAAAATATGTTTTATTGGCTTTTTACAGAAAAGGAAGGGGAGGAATAGAGAGTTAGAAACATCGATCAGCTGCCTCCTGCACACCACCCACTGGGGATGTGCCCGCCACCAAGGTACATGCCCTTGACCGGAATCGAACCTGGGACCCTTCAGTCCGCAGGCCTACGCTCTATCCACTGAGCCAAACCGGTTAGGGCTGGAACTGGCTTTCTTCAACCCAGTCACCCCTGAGACAGAGACTGCGAGCCTTGCAGATACGGAGCTGGAGGTATCAGCCCGCCATGACCCGATGTTGCCTCGGAAGTCCTTTCTTCATCAGTGACGCAACACGCCCTACCTCCGAGTCGCACAAGCCAGGCCACGCCCCCCTGCTGGGCTCCAGGCCCCGGTCCCCGGGTGAGCACTCACCTTGTCCTCCTGGGCAGGGTCCTCGCTGGGGCCTCGGTACGGGGCCACGGATTCCCAGGTGACCACCACGGCGCTCGCGGGCTGGAAGGACACTCCCGGGAACCCTCTCTGGACACACTCGGCAGCCAGCCGGGTGACGGCGGGGGAGGAGTCCTCGCGGTAGTAGACCTTCCCGAGGCCGTCGGTGGTGTCCAGGTCGGCCAGGAAGGGCGCCACGGCCCCGAAGGTCGGTGGGAAGAGCCCGGGGTGGGATTCTGCGGCTGGGGGTTCGCTCGTGGCAATGAGGCCATTCGTGGTGACCTGTCGAAACAAAGCAGAGTTCAAAGGAGCCCCCTTTCCACGGGGGAGGCGGAACGCCCCACTCGGAGGATGCGGTCACGGGCCCACGCGAAGCCAAGTGCCACCGGATCGAAACCATGCAACTGATGGTGGGAATCAGCACCTGTTCCCTGGGCAGAGTCCTGTGGAAGGGGCACAGCTCGATGCTGGCATCCTCCAGTCCCCACCTCCTGGACACTAAGGGTCTCAGGCTCCCCTAGGTGCCTGCTCTGTGTTCTGCAAAGAGCTGTTGGACATCCGTCATTATTTATTTTTTTTAAATACTTTTATTGATTTCAGAGAGGAAGGGAGAGGGAGAGAGAGAGAGAAACATCCATGATGACAGAGAATCATCGATCGGCTGCCTCCTGCACGCCCCACACTGGGGATCGAGCCCACAATCAAGGCATGTGCTCTGACCGGGAATCGAACCGTGACCATGACCTCCAGGTTCATGGGTCAATACTCAACCACGGAGCCACGCCAGCCGGCTGGGCAGTATCCACATTCTTCAGATGAAGGAAACGAGGGAAGCACATCGAGTTTTCCAAAGGTACCAGTGAGGGGCGACACTGGGATGTGACCGCAGGGAGCCCACGTCCCCATGGGCTGCCCCTCATCACGGTGCAGCTTTCTTGAAATCGGTTATCCCTGCCTGTGAACGGGTGTCACCGTTCCCATCCCGTGGAAACCCAGGCTGCTCGGGAACGTGGGAAAGAGACACAGTTCCATGTGGAGGGAGGGGCCCTGGCCTCCTGCAAAGCCTCTCGAGAGCGAGGCTTTGACCCCACTCATGTCCTCATTCCTGCACAACCCACTGATGCCATAGAACCCCACTGCACAGGTCTGTTGACTTCAAGAATCTGAGAATAACAACAAAAATCCCTGTCGGCTGGCGTGGCTCAGTGGTTGAGCGTTGACCTTTGAACCAGGAGGTTATGGTTTGATTCCTGGTCAGGGCACATGCCTGGGTTGCAGGCTCGATCCTCAGTGGGGAGCGTGCAGGAGGCAGCCGATCCGTGATTCTCTCTCATCATTGATGTTTCTCTTTCTCCCTCTCCCTGCCTCTCTGAAATCAATTTTTTTAAAAATGTATTTTTTAAAAATCCCTAATCAGATGGGAGAGTCGTAGCAAATGGCCCTCAGCTTGCACTGTAAGAGGCTGAGGTTGGAAAAACGCCAGGGCAGAAGGGACTCGCCTGGACTGCCCAGATCTGTCCAGGCCACTTATCTATCTCCCTCCCTCCCCAACCCACATCCTTACCCTTAAGCCACTTCAGACCTCATTCCTGGAGGAGGAGTCAGGGGTAGACAAAAAGGACAGAAACTGGCCCGGCCAGTGTCGCTCAGTGGTTGCTCACATCAACCTATGAATCAGGAGGTCCCAGTTCGATTCCCGGTCAGGGCACATGCCCGGGTTGTGGGCTCCGTCCCCAGTAGGGGGCGTGCAGGAGGCAGCCGATCCATGATGATGTTTCTATGTCTCTCTCCCTCTCTCTGAAACCCATAAAAACGTATTTAAAAAAAGAAAAAGAAAAAAGGACAGGAACTGAAGACCCAGTCCTTGCGACATGCCCGGAACCGGGTGAAAAGGCTCCGTGGGGTGGAGCCGGGGACAGGGAGTTTTGGGAGTGAACTTTGCACACCTCCCTTTTCACCCAGCTCCCCGGGCTGTGAGCTGCTGGGGGACACACTTCCCATCATCACCTGGCACCGGCCTGGAGATTCCGCAATACTCGGACGGGCTGCGAGGAGGGGTCAGGGATGAGCTGGCCCAGCTGGCCGGCCCCACCCCCATCCCGACACCTCCCAGCTGGGCGGGCGGGCGAGAGCGTGGGAAAGGGCTCGCTCTCTCAAGATGCCAGGAGTTGGCAACCCCCAGCTGCTCCGGGGGAGTGACACACAGGGCCACAGACAGACAGCTCACGTTCTAAAAATCTGCCTTCGAGAAGACTGCCAGGGCCTTTTTATGACTGAGAATCTGGGCTTAGGAATGTTCCTATTCCCACAAGAAATGCTCTCAGCCCTCGGCCTCGAAGCCCTGGGGACACTGGACGGGGCCCAGATGACCCTCCTGAGTGTCAGGGTTGGACAACGAGTTTCAGCCGGTGTTCCTGCATCGTCAGCTCCGCGGTCTGTGATCACCAAGAAAGATGACATCACAGATACATGTCATGCACAACAGCCAGAAGCTTCACTGGATTCTTAGCTTTAAACTGCCCCCTCCCCACCCCGTAAACTTTATTCTTCAGACACACTGTTAGCGGCGGGTATGCAGGAGGGGGCAGCCAATCGATGATTCTCTCTTATCATTGATGTTTCTATCTTTCTCTCTCTCCCTTCCTCTCTGAAATCACTAAAAGTATTTCTTAAAGAAAGAGTCATTTTTTAGAGTTACATGCTGGAATATTTAGAATGAAATAAAATTATTTGGGATTTGCTTAAGGATAACTCATTTAGGTGAGGGTGGGTATTGGGAATAGGTGAATAGAAATGAATCAAAACAAGTCATAGATTGAGCATCGACCTATGAACCAGAAGGTCGAGGTTCGATTCCCGGTCAAGGGCACATGCCTGGGTTGTGGGCTCAATCCCCAGTAGGGGGCGTGCAGGAGGCAGCTGATCCATGATTCTCTCTCATCGTTGATGTTTCTATCTCTCTCTCCTTCTCCCTTCCTCTCTGAAACGAATAAAAATATACTTTTTAAAATAAGAGACAAGCCATAAATCGATACTTGTTGAAGCTGGGTGATCCCCAGGAATGTGTTCTAATAGTCTATTTTTGCATGTTTGGAATTTTCCATAATAAAACGTTTTTGTAAAAAAAAAAAAAAAAAGACAATGAACACGACTGATGTACAGTTTGGCGGGAAAGGGCAGCTGGCTTTTACAGGTGAGCCAACGCTAATGTCCTGCCATCCGGAGAAGGGCCTGGGGTTTTCTCTAAATTCCCCCCTCTCCCAGACCTGCCCACATCCCACCGCGGCCCTCCCTCCCCACCGCGGATTTCCAGGAATGTTCCCTGCACTGGGTGCGCTAGACTGTGATAATGAGCAGAAGGTGCAGGCGCAAGCAGAGTTGGGAATTAATGGGACGTGACAGAGCCTTGAGGCCCCGGGCACAGGGCCCTGAGTGCAGAAACAACGCTGAAGCCTGAGGATTACGCACGCAAGCAGGCACCAACCAGCACTGCCTTCTGGTCCCCATTGGTGCCACTTAAAAAATGCCATGGGCGCGGCTGGGGTGGCTCAGTGGTTGAGCATCAACCTATGAATTAGGACAGTGGTCGGCAAACTCGTTAGTCAACAGAGCCAAATATCAACAGTGCAACGATTGAAATTTCTTTTGAGAGCCAAATTTTTTAAACTTAAACTATACAGGTAGGTACATTGTTATTAACTTAATGAGGGTACTCCTAAGGCTTAGGAAGAGCCACACTCAAGGGGCCAAAGAGCCGCCTGTGTCGACCACGGAATTAGGAGGTCATAGTTTGATTCCTGGTCAGGGCATGTGCCCAGGTTGCAGGCTCGATCCCCAGTGCGGGACGTGCAGGAGGCAGCCGATCCATGATCCTCTCTCATCATGGATGTTTCTATCTCTCTCTCCCTCTCCCTTCCTCTCTGAAATCAATAAAAGTATACTTTTAAAAAATAAAATGAAACCAATGACATGTTGGCGTCCTTACAGTAAAAGGCACACTGAAGTGAAACAACCACCATCGTTTACAGTTTAAATGAGCCTCGCCGGGTCCCCAGGGCAGAAAGCAGCCGGCAGGGGTGGCGGGAGAGCCTTCGCCAAAACAGATGTTGTTGGTTAGAGAACGAGGGAGGTCGGTGCAAATGAGAAACAAATGGGGTCTCTTAGAAATACAAAGGGCGGCACCAGAAGACAAGGACAGTCCTGAGGTTGCAAAAGCGAGCTCCTTGGGCGGGAAGAAGCACCAACTTAAGGTAAAATAATTTAGGGTAAAGCATGGAAAGGCAACAAACTTATACTTAAAAAAAAATATTTATATATATAATTTTTTTTATTTCAGAGAGGAAGGGAGAGGGAGAGAGAGAGAAACATCAATGATGAGAGAGAATCATGCATTAACTGCCTCCCGCACGCCCCGCACTGGGGATCAAGCCCGCAACCCAGGCATGTGCCCTGACGGGGAATTGAACCAGGACCTCCTGGTTCATAGGTCGATGCTCAACCACTGAGCCCCGCCAGCCGGGAGAGGCAACACACTTTACAGGCTGCTAAATCTGAGGCCGCTTATTGAAGCCATTTGCATTGTTTAAAAAATGTCATGTAGCCGTGCCTCTCTTCGCATATCTGAAGTAGACAAGGAAATGACTAGAGACGTAATTTAGCTTCATGTCCCAGGGACAGCGAGCAAGGGATGCAACCAAGACCTAAACCCACATCTGCGGGAGCCCCTGAGCTGCACTTTCCGGTATATTTGGGCCGCCGACTTAGAGACACTGGGAGCAAAAGTCATGGAGGCTGCAAAGCCACATGGGATGGCGCCCAGGTTAGAGACTGCACAGCTAGAAAAGGCTGGAAAGCTAAAAGGGCCTGAGAAAAGAGAAACTTGATAAAGGAGCCGTGGAAATTGCCAAATGCCCAGGTGGAGGCTGATGGATTTCAGCCTCAAACCCCGAGGGGCCTGGGGTCCGACCCACCGCAGTTCGTAAGGCATCATCACTCCAGGTACCTCATTCAACCCAGCAGACCAAGCATCAATGTCACCGCATTCACTCATCACTGGAGAAAAAGTGCGTTTCGGTTGACAGGCCTTGCTTAGATCTACTATATACAGGCCAGGTGCCAGGACAAAACTCGAGTCCAAATTATAAGTAGTTTCCATGAACCCCCCAGAGCCAGAGAAATGGCTCTGGCTTGAATTAGAAATGGCAACAAAAGGATGAATTGAGCCCTAACCGTGGATAGAGCGTCGGCCTGCGGACTGAAGGGTCTCAGGTTCGATTCCGGTCAAGGGCATGTACCTTGGTTGCAGGCACATCCCCAGTAGGGGGTGTGCAGGAGGCAGCTGATCGATGTTTCTAACTCTCTATCCCTCCCCCTTCCTCTCTGTAAAAAAATCAATAAGAAATATATTTTTTTTTTTAAAAAAAGGATGAGTCGATAAAAGTAAGGGACAACCTAGGGGTGATCGTGAAGAGATGAGTGTGTTCATACTCTGGAGGGTCTTCACATTTTAACTTCTGTGTGTCTGTCGGAGAAGAGGAGCCGTGTCTGCCCCTCGGTATTCCCCAACAGGAGACGATGGGGGCGGAGGGGGAGGGCTGTCCAAAGCCCCAGTTTCTCGGCAGGAACGTGCCCCTCCTCACACCTGACACCTGGGTTTACCTTCGCCACCTGGAGCCCTACGACTCCTTCATCTGGGTTACACGAATCCCTTCATGCGAACGCAATCCCTTAATTTGAAATTAGAGGGAAAGCTATAGGGAAAGGATTCAGCATTCATCGCCTTTCCGGAATGACCATCCGTCAGTGAACCTCAAAGGCCCCAGTGCCAAGGGATCGCTCTTCTCCCCCGCCCCCCCCCCAAATATATTTTTATTGATTTTGGAAGGCAAGGGGACGCTCTACCTGACAGAAGCATGCCAGCTAATAAACGTCGGAAGGATGATGGGAACGACACAAACAAAATAAAACGCACCATTTGGCAACCTTCACTCACTATTGATTCAGGCAAAGATCATCAGGGGATGCGAACCCTTTCTCGGGGAAAGGTTGCTGGGAGGAGGGGACAGTTGCCGGGGCCAAATCGTCCCCCCCTTAGTCAGCTCCCTGCTCGCAGGGGAAAAACATCACCTAAAGGACATAACCTGGCTGTTGTCTCCTTGGCAGCCAGCAGAGCCATAGCCAGACGTCGCTGGCCTCCGGTTCCGGGCACATGCCAGACTGGGTCCCTCCCCCCGGAACAGCCTCTCCATGCCCCCTCCACCCACTGAACCGGAACCTACCTTTCAAGGAACCTCCTCTGGAAGCCTTCCCGGCGTCCCCAGCCCGCAACAACCCCGCCGTCCATCCCCACACGCGTGGGGCTTGATGCCTGAAAGCTTCGATCAGACACAGACGGGGGAAGGAATCCTAGTTTGGGCATTGATCGTGTGGGATGGCCTGGAGCAGTGACTAATTGTTATTACCATTTCTTCATCTGAAAAGACAACCACGGGGGAGTTGTCTGGAGGATTAAACAATGTACAACGAGGGAGTCCCGGACACGGGCGGGCGGAGAGACTGGTCAGATCATGGTTTTATTCTCTGTGGGTGTTCCTCACACGGGCGCCCCGTCAGTTCAGTGTCTCAGGCAGCGCCCGCGAGGGTGTCCACCAGCTCAGCGCGCATCTACACGACTACGGAACGTGGTGGACGCTGGGCTGGGCCACCAGATCCCGTCACCCCCTGAGAATGCGGAGTCACCCAGGGCCACACCTCCTTCCCTGTAGCCCTTATCCGGGGACTGATCGCTGTCAGGGCCCAGAGGCTGGGCCCTCGTGTGGGGATAGGAGACCATCCCACCTTCAGAGCAACGGGGGAGGGGAGGCTGGCCGAGACCTTTGTAGGGACTGAGACCTTTGTTCCCCTGGGTCAACCCTCTTCAGGCCCTGGGTGTGGAGCTGAGTTGCGCCCCAAATGCAATAACCTGCCTGCTGAGCGGCATCTCAGAGTCAGTCCCCCAGGAACCCAGCCTCGAGCACAGACGTAAGATCACAGCGAGCGCTGGGATTCTTTCTCATGGAAATGCCCATGATTCCAGCCCTAGCCGGTTTTGCTCAGTGGTTAGAGCGTTGGCCTGCAGACTGAAGGGACCTGGGTTCCACTCCAGTCAAGGGCACATGCCCAGGTTGCGGGCTCCATCCCCAGTAGGGGGCGTGCAGGAGGCAACCAATCAATATACTAGTATATACGCTTTTTTTTTTTTAAAGAAGTGCATCTATAACATCACAAAAATTTTGTTCTACTCTTTTGATCTGTATTTCAACATAATTGATCTCCTTGGCCATCCTGTGGGTTTTATTTTATGCATCTGGAGACATTATTCTGAGAAGGGTCTTTCTTCTAGGCTTCACCAGAAGGCCCAACGTGGTCAGGGCAGCCAACAGCTGGGCGGCTGTCCCTGCGGGTGGAGGTTTTCAGTTCTCATTCTTTTTTTAAAAAAATATATTTTTATTGATTTCAGAGAGGAAGGGAGAGACATCAAGGATGAGAGAGAATCATGGGTCAGCTGCCTCCTGCACGCCCCCTACTGGGGATCGAACCCGAAACCGGGTATGGGCCCTGACTGGGAACCTCCTGCTTCCTATGTCCACGCTCAACCACTGAGCCACACCGGCCGGGCTTCAAGTCTCATTCTTTTTAGGCGAAGAGACAATCTCCACGGGGTGTGGCCTAAGGCGCAGTGGGCAGGGCGCACAGCCGTCCCCATGCGGGACCCACTCCAGCCTCTGCTGGGTGGTCCCCCTTTGGGAACGCGCGCGCAGCTTTATATGAAATCCACATGGTGCGCGGCTGGGGCAGGCAGCGCCCCCAAAGGCCGGGACACACGCCAGCGCCCCGAGAGCCCGAGGTCGCCTGGCCCCGCGCCCATGGGGGGCCCCCTGGTGACCATGCTCGCCCACTGGACCTTGGATCGCGGGGGAGCCCAGCTTCCCCAGCCCTGAACCGAGCTCCACTGGAGAGCAGAACCGTGGCTAAGACGGAGCGGGAGTCGCACACCCCAGTGGGGGCCCCGTCCGCTCCCTGCCCGGGGCGTAGAGGTGGTCCGGGCTGTCCTGTCCTTCCCTGCGCGCGCTGCGTCCCCACCGAGCCAGGGTCCCGTCCCCAAAGGCTCCGGACCAATGGCGAGACCCCCTTCCCGGCCGCGATGCATAGCAGGTCCCTGGATAA